TCTTAAAAGCGAGCGCACGTCAACAGAAAAATTCTAAACTTTTGGTAAATCCAATTTGGACTGAGGTTTGAGAGTAATCTGGGATTGCTTTACTTTGCTTTTGATTGGTCTACAAACTCGCTCCCCCTTCTAAGCCAATCAGATGTCTCATTACAACCAACTGTGTCTAGTCCCCTGCATTTTCCTGTGTATGATGCCAGTTGCATGCAAGCTGTGCATGTATTTAATTTGGGTTCTCATTGGCTCATGGCTTTGTTCACATTTGATCTGATTGGTTATTGATTATTGTCAAAAGAACTCTTGTTTCACACGGTCTTACTCTTTTTAGGCATATTGACGGAATCTTGATATGTTTCGAGAAGATTCATAAGTCCATAAACGTTGATCAGCCAAAAGCAGATGTATTTTCACAAGGTACACATTTTGACTTCCAGTGGTAGATGTAGCTGAGGCAGAGGAGTAATTTAATCAATGTTCTTAGTTTTGTTTTACATTCACTTATCAACAAAAGTTGTGAAGTAAGGCAGATTACAGCAAGTACATGTAACATTTTTACCTTTGAGTAGTTATCATTGTTTAGGAGTGAGGGATGGATGTACACTGGCTAAATTATTATTGAGAGATCCGGTCAGGAGATAATGATAATTAATGTTTAGTTTACTTCCTTTCTATTGCAATGCATCCTTTTGTGTATGCACTTTATTTACTTTTAACTTTATACACAAAATAAGTATTTAGAGTCTGTTTGACCACCCAATTTTGCAGTGGCTGGCCTGCCCAACCTTTCAATGAACATCTACTGCTCTAAGGAGTTACATTTATCAAGATTTCTCAACAGCCTTGACTATTGTGTTCTTTCAGTGCTGTCCTATCTAAAGATGAATCATCGAAATAATGCCCCTCATACCCCGCGATTGATTCTCCTGGGCCCAACAGGATGTGGCAAGAGTGTCCAGGCGGAACTGTTGGCCAGTAAATATGGCTTTGTTAATGGTAAGAGAATACTGAACGCCCAATATGATTCAATCAGTTGTGTCGCAGCTGAGCACAACAGTTTACAGGTGACGCGTACTCAATCGACCTCATCGCCTGAAGAGGACTAGCAGTATGCAGTCGAAACGTTGCAATCCACATCCGCAGTGACCACATTGTGAGACAAACAATAATACTTCTCTTTGAAACCAGCAGTATAGTTGTCGAAACGGTGCGATTTACAATTTGTTATGACTGTATCATGAGACAAACGATTAAAATTTCATTTATATTTTGAACTAAGATGAACAACAGAAAATTCTATTTAACAAACAACTCGCTTTTCGAACTGCTCTTGGCTTGAGATGTATCTGCAGGAAAAGAGGAACCCTGAGTGAATATTGCGTAAACCTGGGCCGGGTCGTAGTTAATAAAGCGTTACATAGTTGTTTTTTTACCCCTTTTTCGCGGACTCAAACAGGAGCAAAAAAGAATTTTGATGAATTTAGAAGCACTTTTGCGATGAAATTAGATGTGAACACTTCGATTTCCATTTACCCAGCACAGTCAGGTTACGGAGCTTAATACAGCAGCATAATCATTGATGTTATTTCTCTGTTAGTTTCTTGCACAGAGCTGATCAAACAATCGTTGGTAGATGATTCTAAACTTGGTGAAGCAGTGAGGCCGTATATTGATCGGCACATGTTGGGTAGGTGCAAAACTGGAATGATGTCACTCAGACAAGCATATTAAGGTTGTCTCCAATAAAGTAATCTCTAACATGGAACTAGCAATTCGTGAAGTTTGAACACAAAGTTTGAACACGAGCCTGGTGGATCTTCCTGTTTTTTTTTCGGAGGAACAACCATGAGTATAGCTTCCCTTTCCTCGTAATCAACGCTTTCAGATAAATTTCGTCACCATGTACGGCCAAGTTATGTCCTATAGTATGTTCATACTTGTTTTGTTTTTTTTTGTTTTGTTTTTTTTTTAATTTCCTAACAGTACCCGATGATTTGGTTCTACAACTACTCAAGTCTCGCCTGGCCCAGTTGGATGCTGTTACCAAAGGCTGGGTCATTCATGGCTTTCCTAAGACAAGAGAACAGGCAGAGTCACTGGCTAGGGCTGGCTATGAAGCAAATAGGTAATGAAAATACCAACCATCACGGAAACTCTGTATGTTCCCTTGTTGCGACCATATTGAGTGGCCTGGGAGAACTGATCGGATTTGTTGGAAAAGATGGATTAGGAAGAGTTGGGTCGGAAGGATTAGATAAGACAGAATGTAATGGCTCCATTCGATTGCACGTTTAGATTAAGTGTCACAAAACCAAACCAAAGTAATCACGGCAGCCATTCGTAAAAAAGAAAACTTCAAAAGGTGTTAATGAGAACGCAGAGTTTAAACAAGGATACAGCTTGCAGCGCTGAAAAACGCCAGTGTATAGTCACGACTGGTTATATCTGTGCAATGGTTGTTCGAGAGTCCAGGTTGCCTAAGTTTTTACATTAATCATAAGGCAAATTGAGCAATACTTTAATATTTCCGAATTATTAGCTTGGCGCTATTTCTTAGAGCGGTTCTTTTGATATTTAAGGGTGATTTTTATGGACGTTCCAACTGACACCATTCTTGAAAGATTGACTCTGCGCAGTGTAGATCCAGTCACCGGTGAAAGGTGGGTGTAATTCCGTAATACCGTTCCAAAGTTCGTCTCCTGTTTGTCCTAAGGTTTAATGGCACTGAGCTATTTTATTATTATTTAATAAATTTCATCGTATATATTTCTGTTTGATCCTTTTATTGCTGGTTTTCACGTGACGTCACTAAATTTCAGACTTCAGAACTATTGATCCTCCTGAGATTTTACTTTCATGATGTATTAGAGCAGCTAAAAACTAATATTCAGACAAATTTTCACTCCAAATGGGTTCTTGGTTTAGTGATAGACTACTCTTGAATTTCTAAGCTTTTGCGTGACGTGGCCTTTACATGACGAGCGAGAGAGCTGTTATGTTGGTTTAAAAGGTGACTTATTTAGGGAAATTCAGCTATCTGAACAGTTCTTGTATTAGAATAAAGTATTATTGTTACGTTTATGAGTTCTTAGAGAGATAAATTCACGCTTTTGTAGCAAAACTCAGTGACAGATGTTTCTGCTGGTTTCCGGCCGCCATGTTGGTGCCCATCTAGGTGGGCACCAGCATGGCGGCTCCATACAAATCTCTATAAATTTGGGAAAAACGTTTCTCCTCATATCTTCCGTAAGAAAAATTGCTGTGACCTGAATCTTGGCGAGAGTCTTTACATATCTAGCTTCTTTCTATTTCCAGATTCTAGACTAAATCGATTGAACGGTTTTTATTTTTTATTTTGATCTATTTTGAATGGCGTGACATTGAAAACCAGCAATAGTGTTGTTCGGTGCCGTTTCGTTTTTGTTGTTGGTCAAAATGGAGAATACAGTGAAATACCGAAATTTGGAAATGCTAATCTTTTGTCGCAAAACTAAAAGGGCACAATTTAGCTTTCGCGTACTGACACAACCTCCATGAGGGAGGATTCAACAACTAAGGCAAGTCTAATGGGATGTCTCTTTTCCTCTTCAGGTATCACTTAATTTATAATCCACCTCGCACAAACGAAGTAAAGCAGAGGTTGCACACGGTAAGTTTTCAGCATATGTTATTGTTGTACTAATCGTCATTATCACAAGAGTAACCGGTGCTTCGAATTTTACAGTGACAGATCTAGGGAGAGGGGTCGCAGGTTATCCGGTCCCCCCCCCCCCCCCACCATACACTGTGGGGTTCTTTGTTTCTTTGTTACCTGAAACCAAAATTATCACAACGGCAGGTTAGCTTATTACACACAACTTAAATTATTTAAAAGTTACGTATCTCTGGAACACAATTTTTCGTATTTGAAGCTCTATTTAATAAAAAGAAATCTGTGCTTTCTGAATAAAAGTTTGGACCCCCTTACCCATCGAGAGTTCCCAGATCTACCCCCGTTATGCAGATACGTAACTTTTAAATACTTCAAGTTGTGTGTAATAAGCTATCCTGTAAATTGTGTTCTTACCTCCTATCAGAGTCCGAAAGACGTGGAATCAGCGGTCAACTCACGAATAGCTCAGTACCAGGCTTACATCGAGGAGATTGCGGAGTATTACGAGGAGTCTGCGCAGCACATCAACGCCGATCAAGATATTCACACCGTGTTCGAGTGTATTGAAAGTATCATTGTAAACCCCATTCCCACAAAGAACGAAGTGTAATAACGCCATGCAAGGAGGATGTGCTTTTATAATTATATTGTCGGCCACATTATTAACAAAGCTGTATATAGAGCACTGTCGTGGTGTCTTAACGTTGTACTTAAAGAATGTTTTCCATCTGGTCCGTTTTCAGTCTAGAATGTCGATATCTTTGGCCTTTTTAGTTGATTAAAGGTGTGACTTAAGCAAATTAGTTTATTTTGCAATCGAGTGTTCGTCCATTTCTTGGTATCTTGAGAGTCCGAGAGAGGGTTGTTTTTAATTTAAACCCTTTGACCCCTAAGAGTGACTAGCATCTAATTTCTCCTCACAATTTTACCCTTGAATCAAACATGAAGGTCTCGAGAATAAAGGAAATGATAAACAACTAAAGAGACTCTTGATTGTTGAAGAAATTCTCCTTGTCAGCACCTTAGGAAATGTATAGAGAACAGGTTGGAGAATGCACATACTGATGTTAGGGTGAAGAGAGTTAAGAGAACATACAAAGTATGGATTTTCTAAGAACCCACAATCACCCAGAAATGACACAGAGAAAGACTTGAAAAAAATTTCACTCACTAAAGAAATTTTCTCAAAACCTTTCCCTTACACTGATTGGGAAAACTCCAGTCGGTGAATAGAACGCCCAGGGTGGCCATTCAAAGTTATTCAAAGATGAAGGCAGTTACAGGACTCTAGGTTTTAAGAGAGTCTTCGTGGTGATATTAACATCCACACTAATTTCGGTTACTTGTCCGTTAAAGCTTTTATTAAATATATAATTTAAAGGTTCCTTACAGACATCTTGATAACCTATAATACATGTTACATTCTAATTCTCTATCAGGTGCGCAAACTTTTGAACCTCTTAAGAGAATTGTATTTGCTCTGTTACGAGCTTGGGACGCGAAAAAAGACTGTGTACCCTAGAGCAGTTGAAAGGTCAGACCTCGCGCTCCGATGCCCTACAGAGAGCTCAATAGTGAAAAAGGCTTAACCGCTTAGGTACTGTTTGGGACCACCGGGGCGTTCAAGACGATGATATGAAAAAAGGCTCACGCTGTTTACATCAAATCTAAGGGTTAATGCTTTTCAGTGAACTAATATTTCAAAGGTAAAATTCTGTTCGCTAGAAAATAAGCCAAAGTGGATAATAGACCCAAAAGACTAAGTCGAAATTTTTGCATCAACCCTTTTAACGGTTTCATATACTTATCATGGTTGAAAATTTTTGAACTGCCACTCGGAATAGGTACAGCAGCTATTCTTTATCGAATATCACTATTGATGTAATTTAACACTAAAGGTCGTCGTATGAAACAATTTCTCTGGCTTCCCGCGACTGTAAACCTGAACTGTGCCCTCTTGAATCTGCAAAATATAAAAAGGAACCATTGTAATCACAGGACACTTTCGACACATTTCTGATCTGATCATTAAGTCTTACGCAACTTACGCAAATCGCCTTGCGCACATGAACCAGGTGCCGATTTGGAAGATAAATTTTTGTTCTAGTGTTTTGCGGCCTTTCCGTACATCTAATTTTTCTTCCAAATCGGCACTCTTAATCCCCACGGTATCAACGAGCGCTTCTCGTTCAACTAATTTATTCTTGTTTTCTCGTCACTAATTATTCCCACCAATAGCGTAGCTCCATTTTCTGCATATAGACCCACACACAACCCACAATTCTTTCAATCGCTCTGATGAACGGCGAACGCTCGAAACGTCAGCCCCTTAACTCTTAACTGAGGCCAATTTACGTTTTCAACTCAGTTGATAACGCTAAATTACCTGCTATACTTTCCTACCGACGCAGCACCACAGTTTCTTTAGAAGCTTACCCCCTTTGATTAAAATATAGACTCATTGGATTGCTACACAATGAAACAATTAACGTCTTTTTAAAAAAAGAACCTAAGTTAATTGTGACAAATCTAACCTCTGCTTCCCAGACCAGGTCTTCGATATCCTTGTGTGTCTCCCATGATGGGTTGCCTCCTGGAAAAAGCTACTTTGATATGCACACCAGACACCATCATACCATTCATCTGAAAAAAAGGGGGACATTCACAATCAACTTTCCCATGTTACTGGCTAATTTTGCAAGTGTTGAAGGCCGCCGTGTAGAGTAAAAATGTTAGTTTCGTCAAAAGTAAATATCCGCTCGTTTCTCTGGCTCTGTCGCCTTGTTTAAAATTATATAGAGCTTCCCAGCAGTCAGTGAAATTAAAATCACTTAGATACACACATAATTGGATTTCTCTCTCTCAAAAACAAGACAAGTTATGAGAATGAAGAAAAATATCTATTATAATAATAATAAAACATAAGTTAGGGGATTAAGGGCTGATCCAATAACAAATTGTCCGGGAAGACAGTAAAGAGAACCTCTTATGAGATCTTGGGATTGAAAGGGTCAAGGTCACTAGCGACAGTAATGTGCTTTTCTTTCCTCTGCATACCTCATCAACTGCTTTCTCAGCTGCTTCACAGGAGTCTAGTGTAACAAAACCTTGGCTATGTAGATAAAAGAAAAAAACATTAGAGACAACTTTTCAGAGTAACATCAAATGAGAACTTCAAAATAGAATTGAAATAACAATGGCAAAAGTCCCTTTTAAAAGTGATAGGCTTTAACTTTGTACCACCAACATAGATTTTTAACATTGGTATTTGCACATAGCCTCAGCCCTCAGCTGCCATGGGAGGGGGGAAATCATGAAAATTACAATTGCCAACGAGTGGGGATCATTAGAACACCAATAGAACCTTGTGTTAAGGGATAAAGAGGGGGCAGAAATATGACGGAAAATGCTTTGAAAAACAGTCATAATTTGAGATCAGTTGCGTTAGATGAAATCAAGGAAATCAAATCAAAACTGATCTTTTTTTACTCAAAATGACTGATGTGACAAATAAGAACACAATTGTACCTTTTTTCTCTTTCAAAGTTAACATGTTGAACCTTACCTGAAAAGAGAAATAGAAAGAATTACTAAAACGAAAAAAAAAAAAGGGTTATGTCCCTGCTAACAGTTGATCGAAAAACAAGTTGGGTTTATTTTACAAGAATTAATGGCACTTATATACTGGTTTACCACAACTCTATAAAAGCTGCTGTTCACTCTTGGGCAAAGCCAATTTGCCACTTACATGTTTGAGTGAGTAGCACAAAAATTTCAGAATCACGTAATATCAATAATTGGCTAAGAAGGTGATCGAGCCAACACAATGTTCATTTTTGCACCAAGAAAATTATATGCCACGACCTGGGCCCTCATCTAAAAATGTAATTTGTGACAATTATAATTAGCATAAGCTAATATTTTGCTAGTTTTGTTTTCATTTAAATTTATTTATTTAGTTTTTTATTTTTCCTGAAATATCGTCATGTTTACATCAGGTTTTACTTAGATCTGTACTTGCATACTTCCTTCAGTAACTGTTATCTACTTGTGTACATCATGTTATTCAAAGCATACTCTAAAACCCCAAGGGTAGCACCACTGCCTTGGTTGGTTGGGGGTACATGTTCCCCATTTTCACCACCTCCTAGTTTTTGAGGGTTTTCCTGTCTGGCTTTGGCGCAATTAGTTTCCTTCAGTCGTAATTATAATAAACTCTTGCAAGCATATTGGTGTTAAATAAGCAGTATGATAGCTTGGCTGGCCAACAACATCAACACTTTGTGTGCCCGGTTGGGTAGTGGAAGCAAAGTTAAGTGGATGAAGAATCAGAAAGGTTGAAAACATTGCGAGTTATGAAGATTTACCAGTTTGTCCAATGGAAGGAGGAAATATGGCATAACATAACCATGTCAGTGGTAGCAGTGGCACTGGTGTTGTTTGTAAATAGTGTTGTTTTAGGTTTGCATACCTGTCATTGTCCTACATGTTTTAGAATAAATAAGTGGTTCCAATTTGCATGAATTACACATGATGGAAGTGACATGACCCAAACATGAGGAATTGAAAACTCATATACCATCATGAACTTGGAATATGACTCATTGAGTGGTCCCTTTTAGTGTAGTTTCCAGCTTAGCTCACCAAACATAAAATATTAAAAATCAGCATATAAGTTTCTGTAGCTCAGTTTTTCCTATTTTTTTCCTTGGATCAAGCTGGAAGAGGGGGAGTGCTTGAAATATAACTTTACATATTAAGTTTAAATTTGTTTAATAGTCAAGGGTCTCTTACGTTGATGATCATTGGAATTATTCTCATGACCAAAATGTGTGATTCAGGGGTGATGATGCAAGAATAAATTAGATGTAGTAACTCTTAGGGGTTTAGGAGTTACATGTAACCTCACCAAATTTAGTGAACTCTTCCTGGAGGATTTTTTCTGTTAATCCATATCCATTGACATAGATTGTGTTTCCCTGTGGGATGCAATACAAACAGTCAACATGCAAAGTGTGACTGTGATAGCAAAATAACAATAAACCAATTGTAAAAAAGCCACCTTCTTTGGCTCTTCTGTGCCACAGCAGTTGTCTACTACAGTTAAGTAATACTATACTCCTGGGTGCCTCAGAAATTGTTGATTATAAATTCCAGCACCTTGTGGTGAGGACAGTATTGTAATTATATGCGTAATTATATGGATGTACTTTAAGATCTCAAATTTTATTGCATATCACCACAGAACAAGATGAACCTTGTTTCAAACTCTCTACATGTACATCTTCTAAAAAAAACTGACCAATTTTGATACAGAGAACAAAGCCAGTCCTTGACAGCATGATATTTTAAGCCATCAGCCTGTTTTTACCTTTCTTGATTGATCATCTGACCAACTTCTTCGACCTGACCCTTGTCCTAAATTGAAAATGATTTAAGAAAAGGGATTGCAATACTTTATTATATACATGTATGTAATGAATAGTATCCTTGGTAAACAAGATTTTTCAATAAAGAAAATTTGCAGAACACTTAGACTGACCAAGCTGCAAGATACTTAACTGATAACCAAGTTTCAAAAGGATTGTTGATCAAATTGGCTAACAGAATACAAATAGACATGCATCATTAGACAAGAAGACAAACACGAAAACAGCCATGTGAGTATACAGTATATGTAGTATCACATTGTCAGATGGCAGGTAGAGTGACAGACTAATCAACCTTCAGACAAACAGACAACCAAAGAAGGCAGGCACAAAGATAAACAAAACAAACATTCATAAAGAGAAGTTAAAGTCAAACATATACCTCCTGAGAAGCGCTTGTTCTGTGAGGTAGAAGAAGGTATAAAGCTAATCAAAACCAAAAAAGAAAAAAACAAAAATATAACAAACATTTCAATGACAACATTGCTACAGGTACTCACAGAGTACTTAACCCTTTAAGTCCTACTAATGACCAAGAGAGAATCTCTCCTTACATTATCAGTATAACATAAAGCAGATAAGTAATAAAAATAAAGAAAAATATCAATTAGGGGATGGATGGTTGATCCAATTCCAAATTCTCCAAACTAACATCACAAATTGTATGGTAGACAGTAATGAGAAATACTAGATAAATGAAATATTGGGAGTTAAAGGGTTAAAGCTGAGCAACCATTTGCATAAATAGTTCTGAAAGAGCAATGTACAATAAAAATTGCCCAGAAAAACCGAAATAGAAAGTTTCAAAGGACCTAAAAAAGATGGAGTATATGCCACTTATACAGTTATAATTGCCTCAAATTCTTACCTTTCGTGATATAAATTTCTTATTGCTTCAGCACGTGCCTATAGCAAAACAGAACATGGATCATGTATTACATAATATACATCTCTTACATGGTGAAAGTGAAAAGTTAAGGTCTAATTCATTTCATCAAATCAGCTAGTCATCTAGTCACTAAAGATAAAAATTAATGAAATGATTGACATTTATGCCAAAGATAGCTTCGTTGCGAAAAATTCCACAGTACTCAGAACCACAACAGTTCAACCAATTTTTAAAGTTCACTCTTGAGAGATGACCTGTTTGAAGACTGTAAAATTTGTGGACCTTTTCGTCAAGGTTTAAACCCCTAACATGGACTAAAGGTAACTAAAAACATTTGAAGGGAGAGCAACAAGGTGATTTTGGAACACATAAAAGATAAAATACATTTCATCATAAATATTCGATACTCTTGAGCAATATTTACCTGCTGCTCATTCCTGTTGGATGCTGGTTGCTGTAAGAAATCCTATATTGATCAAAAAATCAAAATGAACAATTAGCAAAACATACTGTATGTTAACACAAGTTTACACTTGCCTCGTGGTATTCTCATACACTGTACATAGTTAACCTAACTTGTAATACCTAGGCCTTCAGGTGAGTGCGTCATTCAACACCAACACTTTAAAAGGGTAAAACCTAGTAATAAACAGTTTGAAATGTACTCTACAAGTCAATAATAGATGTTTTTAAAAAATGGGAATTTAACAATAGAGATTTCACTAAGTGCCTCTTCTCGTCCATTGTTTCCAGATTGAACTAGAATTTGGAGTATTGTGTTTGTGGAGGGAAGAAAACCAGAGAAAATCCTACATGTAAAGCCAACTCAAGGAATCAAACCCAGGCCACATTGGTGGGAGGCAAACACTTTCACCACTGTGCTATCCCTGCTCCCTATTGTTTATAATGTTAGTTTAAAATGATCTTTAAAATTTATCTTACCTTCTGTCTTCTTTCTCCTACTTTAGCCCTTTTGAACTCCCTATGGACAGGATCTTTTTTAATCTTCACTTCCTTGATTAAGAGGAGAATTCCAATTACTGGCAACTTGTGAACAGTATTCAAAAAATTATCAGACTGATGGCAGGTGGAAATAAACCTAGAATTCATAGAGTGGTTGAGGGTACTAAGGAATCACAAATTTGTATTGTTATTTATATTCCAGAGAAAGGATTAAGGTAAACAAAATTTTATAGAAAATGCTGTTGTTAATCATGGTTTCTATAGATAAATAAAGGTTCGATCATTTGTCCTATGATGTAGGATTCAGACTAATTAATTGTACTGATGATGAAGTTTCAATTACTGCTAGTCTTTGACAGCTTTCCCCCTCATGGCCTTCCAGTTAGAGGTGAAACAGATGTAAACTACATTTAACATACCCCTGAGGCAATCAGCTTCTTGGCAATCTCTTTTGCATCCTGTGGATCATGGCTAATTTCTGCTGGAGCATCTGGAATGAAAAAATTTCCAAAACTATTTTTATTTGACAATTTGGGGGGATAAACTTTAACCTCACACACTTAAAATAAATCGATAGAGGTTACATTTTGCACCAAGAGAGACATTAATTTGAAAACTATAATAATAATTGTATACAAGTATAAATAGGCCTCCCTGATAATTAACACCAGAGGCTACCACAACTAATAAACACCTGGTAATGAAAAACCTGGACCTTACATATTGAGACCTAGGACACCTGGGGCCCATTCCATAAAAGGTTCCATTAAAAAACCTGGTTAAAAAACCTGGACCTTACATATTGAGACCTAGGACACCTGGGGCCCATTCCATAAAAGGTTCCGTTAACTTTACAGGCCTGCAAAGCTGTTTTGTTTTCATTTAAGATCTAGATAGGGTTTCAGAAGTCTTGAAAATCATACAATAAAACTTTAAGCTAAAGAAACAAAATTAACTGGTTAAAGCGCCAGAACCTGCTTCTTAATTCTTTAAATTTTGATTTAAAAATATGACTATGGACCTGTTCAGTTACTGGGGCTTTCGAAAGACTGGCGATAGACCCCTAAAAGATTCAGATTATGAGGTTGTCTCAAAATTAAACTCGACCTAAGTCATTTAACTTCCTGATCACACACAGTATCAAAGCTTTATGTTGAATCTCTTACCACGCTTCGTACCCGGCTTGATACTGCTGGGATTTTCGACTTTTTCTTTAGACTTTTGCAGTGCCTTTTTCTGGAATGAAATAAAGCACCTTCGCCCTCAGACTGAGATCCTTTAATTTCAAATCAATGAGAATCTCTTTAAATATATGGGACTGGAGCTAGATGTCATACCCTTTTCTTCAACAAAGCGAACTTTCTAAGAAGGTATTCCTCCTCTGCGGTTAGATTTGGTAAGCCCATTATTCAAAGTTCCCAGAAAATCAACTCAAGTCTCACAGTCACTAATACTTGGCGCATTCCGCCTTCATTTCCGCCATCTTTACTTATGAGTCTTCGGTAAGATCACGCTGCGGATATCATCAGAAAGCTATAAGTATGTCGTGTATACCTTGATTCCGAATGCTTTCTCAACATTCCAACATGGCGTTCAACGTTATGACTTCCGCTTTAGAGTCTGAAGTGTACTGGTCCTTAAAAAATGAAGTTTTGATAGAACTGAGGGAGCTGCTTGTTGACAAATTACAATATGAGAAAACTTTGGACTATCTGAGGTCTAAGCGAGTATTTGATCGAGCGGACTGCGATGAAATTGAAGCAGAGAGAACTCCAACCAAGAAACGAGCAAAATTCTTGGACATTCTGGGCGATAAAGGTCCCACTGCTTTTGACCAGTTGTGTTTTGCTATTCAGAAGAAGTGCAAGGGACAAGAATATTTATTAGACATTATCCTCACCACTTTTGATAGGAAGAAACAAGAGCGAAGTAAGCCTCTTTACAAATTTAAACATATTTTAAACTTCCGTTTTAATTATAACGTATAAGCTGATTATAGTAGGCAATATTTTTTTGTGGTAGTTAAGTGTCGCTTCTAAAGCTTTAATCTAAATTGATTAACTATAACTGGTACTCAATGAATTGATGTAGTGAAAATGATATCAAATTCTGATATCATCCCTTTAAAACTAGGAATAAATTACACGACTGTTCAAGTTCTCTTTTCAACTTAGCTGAGTTTATTAAGCCAAGATTAAATAAGGGACACATTATTAAGAACACTTCCTTTTTTTCCAAGTTTGATGGTAACCAAAATTTACTCGAAAAATTTTGGCTTGATTTCCCTTGAATTGGACTCCACTCAGTCCAGTGTTACCATTATTGACATAAGCTTAAAATTTTTCAATTTTCAATGAGTTTACTGATGCAATAAATGCTAGGTTTTTGACTTATTAGGGGCTCTTTTATTGATTAATGTATCCATGTCCCTAAGTTGAGGAAAACCTTATGCATTGATGTGGCCAAGTGTGACAGAATTTAGAGCATAAGCTCCCATCTGTTAACCTGTGTGAGCCTAATCATAAGTGAGCCCACTCTGTCCAGTTCAAGTACATGTATATTCAAGAACCACAGGCATTTTGTCTCCATTGGAGAAAATATTTATTACTTTGCAGGTTTTAAAGAGCTACCTCCCGCAGAACCACCTGGTTTAGATGGAGGCTTATCTCCCCCATGTGATGATCCAAAGCTTGTTGTTATGGTAACAGGTTTAGCTCCAGATACATGTGAAGTAGATTTAAACAATTTACCAGGACCTGGAGATCCTGGGGCTCCAATTCCACCAGATGAGATAGAACCTACACAAGGTCAACAACCAGGTAATCTTGCTTGACAGGACTTTTGCAGTGGAACTTTTCAGTAGACCCTGTTTCACTAGAGCAAACATAGTCAATTGAGCAGAAAGAGCTTGATATAGAGAAATATGTTTTCTGTCTTATCACAAGCGTGGGACAAAAAAAAAATTCTGAGTCCCCAAGAGGGAGGTCAATTCTGCACTCCAATGCTCTGCTACTGAGCTACAGAGACTCTGTGGTGAGCGAGGCCCATTACGAAGTTCATATATGACATGTCCTGCATACTGCCATGATCAGTGATGTGACAATAGCATCATCTTTGTAAATAGATTACGTAAGAAAAATGATAAGTTTAGTGCTCAGTAAAGGAATAGATAAATTTATGAACTTTAGAGATGAGAATGTGATGTGAATGCATTGTCCTTAAAAAAAAAAAAAAATCCGAAGACTCTTCATTCACCTTTAATTTGACAAATAACTTAAAGAAACCCTTCCTTATAAAACCTGGTACTGAATGATACACACAGCCTTGACTTCCGTCTCATGCCAATACAAAATTACTGACCTATTTCCAAACCCTTACCTGAAAACTTGCTCTATTATGCCTTCACTGACACATTTCCTAATAATTTACAGAATAGTATAGGCACAAACCAATAAAATAAAAGAGAAGTCTTTGCATAGAATCATACTTCCCTAAAAAAAGTCCCATTCAGAAGGTGGAGCTGTTGAAAGGAGTTTGTGTGAGACAGCCATAACTCTTCAGGGCACCTTCAAAATTTTTGAAATATCTGAAGGAATCACTAGCCAGTGTGGTTCTTTTGCATATGTAAAACTGTTTTGCCACAAAAAAGGCGATAATTGACCATGACAACTGACAATGTTTCCAATATCCTTTCTTTGGGAAGATATTATTTGTTATTTGTCAAGGCATGCAATTAGAAATCAGTGATTGATGGTCCACAAAGATGTTGGTCAACCATCCCTAATGAAAAGGTTAATACAATACCAAAGAAATGAAAAAAGGGTCAAGATTGCACCCAGCCATCTAAAACTGCAGCTTAAAATAGATTTCCTGATTAATTTTTATTCTTTCAGGTCAATCCATCAACCAAACTCCACTTACCCCTCCACCATCTTATGATGTGTCAGAGTTACCACCACCATACTCTCCACAGGAATTAGAAACTGAGTAAGAGATGGAGAGACAGGGAAAGGGATGGGCTCTGGATAGTCACTGGTATCATCCCAATTGGTTACATATTAAATTTCTTGTTTGTTTTTATTATTTATGTACATTCTGCTTATAAAAGGTTCTATTGCTGATTTTAATCATTTACTACCATTTGGTTTGAAATAACAAGGCTAAAATTCAAAGTGCTTGATATTATTTCTTAAACATTTAACCTCCATGAGTTATGAAGACAGAATTCCTCCTTACAATTTATTATAATGTCAAGGAGACAGATGCTGAGAATAAAGAGAAAAAGCACTGATATACTAGTTGATCCAGTACCAAATTCTCTGAACTAACATCATTAGAATTGTATGCCAGACAGTAAGGAGTCTTGGGAGTGAATGGCACAATGAACCAAATTTATCCTTGAATGTATATGCTGACATCACTTTGATACAATTATTAATTCTTACATAACAGCCTTAATTGATTTGAAAATAATAGAAATAAGTACACCCATAATTTAAATTAGGATTTGATGATTTTTAACAGGTAAGAAAAGTTTAGCCAGGGAACAAAGGTTAATTTTATGGTTAATTTTATGTTACAAATGCACCATAAATATATATTAGACTAGATTTACATTTTAGTAGGTTACTTTAGACACATATCTCATTTAAATATGTAAATTTATGCAGGATGCCAATTGTGAAAGCAATCTGAGTGCAAGCTCTGGCTGAGTTTAGCTGTTCTGTAGCTGAGGCAAGACCCAGTTAATGTCTCTTTGTTTCTTTAATCATCAAAATTATATATCTCAGTATCATGAAACAAAAAAAATGCTGAGAAGGAATTTGTCACAGATAGGGCTGGAGAGGGCTGTCAGAAGTGAGACCCTCATAAACTACATCGTTTCACAGAGTTGGACATGTTTTTAAAACAGTAATATGAATTGCTGATTGGCTAAAACAAGGTGTTTTCCGGGTAAGGGAAACTGTTGTCAATTACCTATATAATTTCCTGTGACAAATTTGGAAAACAATCCAGTGATCTGAAAGAACTTATAATATAAAAGCACAGAAACATTTTTTTTCAGTTTTTATTAGGAACTATCTTTAGAATTGGTCAGTTTTTACTTCTGATATAGCTCTTGATAATAAGTTAGTTTACCGTCACTCATGCTAACGATGAATACTAAATTATAGATCCTATGGTGACTCCTGCAGTCCCTCTCGTGTGTGGCTCACTCAGCTACAATGTGCAGTTTACTTTCGTTAACACTTGTTTTTTGTGTTCATTTCAGCAATGATTATCTTAAAAACAGTCGCACAGTCTGTACGTCCAGTAGCTTGACTGGAAAATACTACTACTTTTTAAAAGTAAAAGTAAGTTAAAGTTTCTAAAACATTAACTTTGAAAATGTTTACATATTTTTTGACTGTACATATGCTTGTATCATTCACTGTCATTTATTAGTATTAAAAGCAAGTTGTTCAACAAAAGATGTCACAAAAGTCTCGAGTCAATGGTTTCTTGGCAGAGTTTTTCCCAATAATAACCTCTTGAAACAATTTTTTTGGCCTTTTTTTCCATTAAAGACACCCTTAAACTGACAGGTGCAATTTCATATGTATTGTGTACCATCAAGTTGAAAAATTTAACAGCTTCATCTTTTGAGAACATTTTGGAAAACTGAAAAAGGCAACTAACAATATTTATAGGAAGAGCAAGGAGGTGATTTTAGAACACATAAAAAATTCATTACATTTTATCATAAATATTCGATGCTCTTGGGTAATATTTACCTGTTGAAAAATTTAACGGTTTTATCTTTGAGAACATTTTGGAAAACTGAAAAATTTCCCAAGTTCAAGAAAGCCATTTGGATTTTTGACTTCATGACTGTTAAGCATTAGAGTATCCTAAAAGTTGACTAGTCTGAGATCGAAAAACTTAAGAAACAAAAGGTTTGTTTCTGTGTGCTTTATCCGGAAGCAGGAGCGAAAATATACTGCTAATATCATTAGGTAGAAATGTAAACTGCTTTGAAAATTTTCACCTATGATGCGCTTTTATGACATAAATATCAATGAAAAACTAGAATTTCTTCTGACTTTTGAATTTTAAACACGATACATTTACTGTGCGCTTAAAACGTTCTATTCATTAAGGATCATTAACACTGACGCCATGGTGACCGGGTATACCAACATGACTTTGTGCTTTTAAAGAAGAGCTTTTTACCATTTTAACATTGGGTCGATATCCCCGTTAGTAAGGTGCTAATTTCAAAAGGTAATGTTGTGATTAAAGATATTTGAAAACAAATAACTTTTGATGCAATTTTAACAACAGCAGATAGCTTATCTACGGGACCTTAATAGGGCATCAAGCTTTTTTTTTTTTATCTAAGGATAACTTGGTGGTACTCTACTTGCATGGCTCAGTTTTCTTTTTTGTTCCCGCACAGATTCACTCAACAGGAAGCAACGATATAAGCGTGTGATAACTGCAAGTGAAGAAAGCAGTTATCTACACGGTCATTTTCAGCTTTCCAATATCTCCTTAATTAAAAAAAACTG